AAAAAAAAAAAAAGATAAAAAATACTGGCTCAGACCTTCCTCCAAACAATTAACCCATAATAAAAAGCTTGTGAGTCATGGTATCAAAAAGAGTAATCACAATTTCTTGCCGTAGTTGGTACTTGAAAGGAACATGGAAGGAATATTTCAGCAGTTTAATATTTTAACATCACATAGCATTTTGGCATTTTTCTTAATAAAGAAATAAAAAAGCATTTCCTTTTATAAAAAGATCATTAAAACGTCTACTCATCTGCCCTCTTTATTTTGCCTTACACTCTGGAATCATCTGAATTCCTTTCTGAAAATTGCAAGAGAATTTGTAAAATTTTCCTTCAGCACCTTTTTGCAAATAAAATAGTATACTGAAAATGCTGAGAAAAAAAGAAAAAGGAAAAAGCTAAAGTTTTCTCTTTTCTTTTTTTTCCTTCCTTTTGATAATACTCCAGGACCTGTATAGCACATGGAACGTTTAAGACACTACCAGTGAACAACCGCATAACACAACAGTTCACCGTCTCAGCTGATTGATCCTGTTGGTGCAATGCAATGAACAACCGCATCGGCACAAGGAGCTAACCCTTCAGAAATCACTTCAGTATCACATTGACGTCTCTTGCAGCTCAATTGCACCAGTATGCTGCTGTTAGTGTTAATGTTTGGGACTCCTAGCAATTGGAGTATCAGCAGCAGACATTATCATCGTCTCCAGCAAACTGCTCGGAGATATTGTTCACGGTGACACTGTGGCGCTTAATGAAACGCTTCCATGCCAATCATCCTCTGAATTGTAGACCAAACTTATTTGGCAATGTCCCAGATGTTATTATTGCAGTTTCCAGTGTCGTTACCAAAATCCATTTGCTTCCTGATTTGCTTTCCTAAAGGTAATTTCTGAAAAGGTTTAGTTGAAAGTTCTGACTGCCAGTCGCCATAGGTGGAAATTAGTCACTTTCTTTTTGATATTGAAACTTGTAACTGTTTAATCTTTGGTGATAAAAGTCTTTGATGAATTATTGCTATTTTTAGTAGCAACAGGTTTTCGTAGTTGTACAGCATTGTATTGATGCAACCACTCTATTCGGCTTACACATGTGAACAGTGTCTTTTTACCTATGTTTTGTATTATTATAATAGTTGTTCTTGGCATTTATATTTTAACTTTAATTAATATAGAAAAGTCTTTTCTCCTGTTCGCTGTTTTATTCCAGTGTATGTTTTTCGTATTTTGTTTTTATAAGATTTATCCAGTTGTCTATGCAGCTGTATTGCAAGGGCACTTGACAATGATGTTTTTCTCTCCCGAAAATAATGGTAAAGATGTTCCTAACTTTTTGTTTATTGAAATACTCTAGTTGGATTCAGTAACAAACTGCATTATAGTGTTTACCGCGGCTAGTGTCAAATCTCGTTGTCGACCCTTAGTCGGAACTCCAAAAATCGAGTAAAAACAAATTTGTACTGAAGAATTGTAGAATTTTCGCTAGTAATAAAATAAGAAAAATCGAACGGTTTGCATATTTTAAGGGAAACTATTTAGTACGGGAAACTGTTAGCTAAAGGGAATCGAATTCTGGTAGAATTTTTGGCGATTGACAGCAGACGATTACAGAAACGATATAAATACATAGAGTTCACTGTTCACTGTTCACTAACCGGTTGTTATTTCCAGTATCCTGCCGGTCAACAGAGTAACAGTGGAGCGGAAATTAGTCAGTACTAGATAGGACTCTCATCTGAAAATGGAGCAGTGATGAGGTTTGTAACGGAATATTAACTAGAGAGTTTTGTCAGTCTTTGCTTTTTTTTTTTTTTTTTATTGAAGAGCATTGATTCTAATTAGCGATACGTTAGTGGTTGTCTAAAATGATAATATCAAATGCGTGTTGTAACTTACGGAGAAATTTTTCTGCGCCTACCGAGTAGCAGGCACTTATTTTTTCTGAACATGCTGCGCAGTTAGACTATTCTTTCTCGATTTTCATTACGTGTATTGCGTACATTTTAAGCACACAAACATAATACGTATTATACGTCCGTTCTTGTCTAGTTCCGTCATACACACTTTCGATTTTGATATCAAAACCAGACAGATTGGTTAGAAGAAGTATCTGTTTGATAAAACTGACGAATAAAACGATCAGTATGAGCAAATAATAAAGCAAACTAATAAACGGAAGGAAACGAGAATAATTTAATAAAACATAAAAAAGAATTTGGAGAGTTAGCAAAATTTTTCTCATTGATTATTATCGCTGCTTTAATTTCCTATCATAGGTATTTCATAACATCACAATAACAGTGAAAATAATAATAATAATGGTAATAATATTAATAATAATGGTAATAATAATATTATTATTATGATTGTAAA